CATCGTGAACCCTCGATAAGACATCAAAGAAGTTCCAGACTAGAAAGAAGACTTTGTATTGCTGGTAAGTTTTTGGAACTTTTGTATATAAGTCATTGTTTGTAATAACTGTTATTGTTAATTGTATTATTGTTTGTATGTTAAAACATATTTATATAAAACAAAGAAAAGTGTGTGTATCAATGTTTTTGGCAAATATCATAAATTGGATACATATCGGCATTTATTTAACTACTAACTCTAAATTACAATTTTACTCAGTTTAGGCTATTTGAAATTGTAATATGTAACAGTATTAAAAACAAACTTTCAAATATATGAAATAAATATATAAATCTAATATTGCAATATTCATAAATAATGTTAACAAAATATTTTGTGGGGGCCCTGAGGCAACTGCCTCATTTGCTTCATGGTTAATTCGGCAATGCCTTTAGCTCAATTCAAAAATCAAAAGTATCATAGAAAAAGCTCAAATAAAACTTTTAAAACAAACTATATCAAAACAAAACATAAAGAACTGAAATTTCTCCGCAAAAATGAACTTAACATACATAGCAACCTCGAACGTTTGACTACTCCTCTAGATATACAAGTTGTTCAGATTTTTTCATCAAAAAAAAAAAGAAGCGAAATTAATTTCTTGACGACCTAATACATAATCTGTGGAGTCATGTGATATCTATTAAGTGGGAAAAAATTGGAAATCTTTTTACTCCTTTCTTGGGTTTAAAAGGTAGATTTTTTGTTGTTGTTGTTGTTAGTGCGCGGAAGGTACTTTGTAGAAGGGTTAGTTAATTTATCTTATTTTAATGCGAGATTATATTTTTGTAGGTATTCCAGAAAGAGTATTTTGGATGTAATTTTTATTGTAAAGTTGGTAAGTTGGTGGAGCGTGATTCTTGGGAGTATATCCTTATGGTAAGTATAACTTAAAGAGTTTCAGTGCTTGTAATTAATTTGTTCTAATGTTTTGTTTTGTTTTTTATTATTATTATTTTTTTGTACTCGTGTATATTCTTACTGCATTATATTCATTTGTTTTATCTGTACCGTTTCTTTGTACATTCCTCTTCTATGAAAGTGGATTAATAAAAGGGAGGAGGCAAAATTCGCGGAAGTGTCGGAAGTGTTTAGATTATTTTCTCTTTCAATGATATTCCTTGAACAAAATAGCGAAGTTTAAAATTTCTGAACTGTCGAAAATGACTATCTTCAGAATCAAAGAGACTTTGGACATTAAAACTTTCATTCGAAATAGAATACAATGGTATACTGTTGTCATTTTTAAGTGTAATTGTAATGAACTTCGTACATTTAAAAATTACTCTATTTATTTTAAACAACTGGTACTCCGTTCTTATCTATACAGCTCACTTCTCTAGCAGGGAACCAAGATAAAGAACTGAACACTTCCCTTGGTATAAAATTAATGTTAAATTACTTTAAGCTCTCATTTGATTATTAACCCTTTAGGAGCAAATTAATATCTATACTTAACCTTTAAATTGTCAAGAAAAGCCTCATTGAAATCTCTCTCAAAAATAGTTAGAGGCTAAAAGAAAAGCAGAAAGAAGGAGAATGAATCTATGGGAGAAAGAGCAGCAAAACTAAAAGCTGGTCGTTATAAAAGCAGCTAGGAGGAGAAATAAATCATAGGAAGAAAGAAGTAAGGCTTCACGTTGAAAGAGTTAAAAAGAACTGAAATACCTGTACAAGAATCTGATAAATTAAGAAATGAAAGTCTCGAAGGAATTATGGAAACCATATTTGGTAGCTCATCACTATGATTCTTAATGTGGTATATCAAAAAACTTTAGGATTGTGTAATTTTTGTTTCGAAAATCAAAGGTTTTAGATTTTAAAAGGTTATGAAAATTGTATTTTTTAAAAGAAATATATTGCTTTCTTTAAATACCTGTTCTGGAAACTGGTAATTCAGCTAGTATTTAATTAATAACAACTCATTATTTAAATCTTCCTATACTGAACATGTCTTTAAAGCTCTAAGCATATGTATAAAATGCGCAGACTTTTTTTCTTTTTTGTGACTGCTTCAATAAAGTTTTTAAAATTATGTAAATATGAAACTATTTATTTATTAAATCCGAGTAGCTTTTGGGCGAAATTCAACAAACAAACAAAAATTTGTGAACATAGAAGTATATTTAATGTAATTAACAAAAAATGTTTTTCTTGGTATTAATATTAATTATATAAATAAGTACCACAACCCTCTTATATACTATTTTGAAATGAGTACCTTAATTTGTACTGCAGTGCAAAAGAAATCATTTCCTTAAAATGTGTTCTGAAAATTTGGATTTAAAAGTATTGACTGAATTTTATCCCCTCTACAGAATATTAACTGTCGCCTTCTCTAGTACAGGTTGTAGACCACACTTCTTGAACTAAAAATAGCCAAAGTTTGAAACGCTTAAAATAAACGCATTGAAAGTGCCAAATAGTATCAGTCCTAGAAGCGTGTGCTTTAAGAGCAGCTGGAAAGCGGGGCACTAAACTGTCAAGAATATGCATGTGCTCTATAAATGCAGAAGAAAAGCAACTACACTTTCATCGTCTTCTGAAGCTCGTAGAGACAAACATGAAACATAGAAAGATGTGAATGCCTAAAAAAACCATACTTTAAACAACTAAGTGGAACATACGAATGGAAAAATGTACCGTCGAATTGTTTTAGGAAATATGTGAACTTCACATTTCAGTGTATAAAAACAATTTTAATAGGTGCTATATTGCATGTAAATTGCATACATATTTCTATAGACTCATTTTTGAATTTTTTTATTCTAAATTTATCTGTTCAATCTTAGAAATATAACATTGCCATGTTCAACACGCTTACAAATTTGTTTGTTTTTCTTCAGTAGCAAAAGGGAAAAAAGGAAGGGAGGGACTTCTGTATCAGATTCAGAAAAGTAACAAAAGGACTAGAAAGGGAATACCGCGAGCTTTCAAGTATTTTGATCAAGAGAAAATATTCTCCTGCATACATTTTTTCACAAAATAGTTTTAACCCAAAATGTTTACGCGAATTTCATTTGTCTTTCCTTGGAAAATATGTCATTGTTCTATTTAACTTTCACAACAAATACACAGCTGAAAAATATAAAGTTTAAAAGTAATTAAATAGATATTGATTTACCTTTTTTGGATATCATCAGATGTCCATTACTGAGAAATGCTTTTGGTGTTTCTTTAAGAAGTGAGAAATATTGAGCATATATATATATGTGTGTGTGTGTGTGTGTAGAGAGAAACTTGTAATACCTCACAGTGCGTGAACACGACACTTGCTGCTTTAGGAGCGTTGGGGTATCGGAATTTTTTACTGTTCTAATTATTTATTATCAATTATGATCACGCAAAGAATGTTCTGTTCAGAGATTGGTATATTGAAAAAAGAGAAGTGGCTAGAGAATGATAGATTGATGTACAAACTACGAATTCTGTTGGGTAGAAACTACTGTTCCAAACCATCTTGAAGCATGTATACAACTTGCAGACGAATATATTGAGTTTACAGGAATTTGACCCAGGAATTTTATCTGGATTCTTCTCCGATTCCATGTCTCTAAAGTTTACTGAAACATAAATAATATTTTTGAGAAGATTTCTCTTTTTATTGCTATAGATATTCGGGATTGTTCTATCTTTTTTTATTTATTTTTTTGGTTGTTTGTTCATCCTTCACCTCGCGTGTTGACAATATTAAGTTTTGAAACGGCTATTTGTAGGATATTTTATATATTTCTGTACAACGTTTCGTCTCTAACAGTGAGACATGATCACGTACTTGATTGAGCCTTAAATGTTGTACATGTTGCAGAGAGCCCCCAAGTAGCACAGCGGCATGTCTGCGGACTTATAGAGCTGAAAACCGTGTTTCGATATCCATGGTAGGCAGAGCACAGATATCCCAATGTGTAGATTTGTGCTTAATTCCAAACAGAAGTACTGTTAGAGACGAAACTTTGTACAGAAATAAATCTAACACCCCACAAATAGTTGTTTCAAAACTTCATTTTGTTCGTAAGTTAAGTGAATACCTCTTAAAAAGCAAATAATACATATTGATCCAAAAACGTCATCCAACTCTCCTTCTTAATGGATACATAGGAGTCAAAACTATAAGTCTATTACGTACTAATAACTCTAAATAGAGTAGGTTCGGTATACGGGTCTGAGAGCAAATTTTCGGAACAGTTCTTTCACCGGTGATTGAAATTACGCTTCGTCTTAAAAAATATCCTCGTATTTTAAAATTGAATTTCAATAAGACTTGTAAATTATGATTTATTTTTTACGTTTCTGTTATTTGTTTGCTAGTTTATTGGTTTATGCATTCTTACGAAACGCTTCTTGTGTTCAATGGCTCGTAAATTAAGATAAGTATTATGTACTCTATAAAGAGAAAAAATAAATAAAAATTTGAAGAACTGATCTTTACATCAAAACTTTCACTGAAAGGTGAAAATGTTGTCAATTTTAGTTATGATCATAATATACTAGTACTAGCACTTTCAACTAAAGATATAGGATGTTTGGCTTCTTAAGATTTTATTTAAAAGTAATTAAGTTTGCAATTAGTTGAGACACTGATTATTTATATTCGCATGCATGTTTATATTCGCATTATATTCATTTATCGAGACTAACTTATTTATGAAACACAAATAATGTCATATGTCAACCAGGGATGAAATTCTCAAGAAAAAAAAGTAGATGTAGTCAGCTGGTTCAAGTGGACCTATTTTTGAAAAGAAGAAAAATCTACGTGTAAACTTAAAAAAAAAAAAACGACAAAGCAGCTCAAATACGTCCCGGTACTAATATCGCCTTCAAAAATAAGTTCCCGTACTCAGTACCGGTAAGTACCGGCACAATTTAACCCCTGATGTTGACTATAGAACGTAATTTAATTAAACCTTTTAAGTATTATATAAAGATGTAAAAATAAATTCTGCATATAAACTTACCTCCTGCTGAAACACTGTGCTGTCCAAGATTAGCGACTGCTGTAATGGTCATCATCCACAAACAAAGGAAGCCTCCGGATTTGGTCATAGTTCGTTCAAGACGTTATTTAGGGGCCTTTTCTGAGTACTTTTTAAATTTATTTGAGAATACCCTATGTTCAGTCAGCAAGATCTTTTCAGTCTTTATTCCTTGCTAGTATTATATTTGAGTACTTCTGAATATCCAAGCACTTCATTCGCAACTGTTAACCTAACAGAAAAGCTGACGCATGATCCAACTTATCTTCCTTAATCTGTGTGCTAAGAAAACGTATTTAACATATCTGGCAAAAATTTCATCGAAATTGTTAATGTTCACTAGCGAGTAAACACAATGACCGTTCTTAGCGTGTGTGCTGGTGGACTATAGCCCGTAGTTTGTCTCTTTCAACCGCCTCAGCTGTGCCAGTCACGCTTTGCTTATTATATGAATTGGGATTGTATATTTTGCCGTTAGAGGTCTCTACCTTACCACATATAACTAAACTAGTGGTCTTCTGCTTAGAAAATTATTCACCATCGATTTTAGTTTAATTTACCCACTAAAATCTGAATATACAAGCCAACTTTTCGCTCACTAGGTGTCGTATTCATATAACAGTGATATAAGTTTGAGTTGATGTGTATCTATTCTTCTTGTTCAGCCACGTGACACTGTGGACATGAAATCTGACTGACGATTTATCGTATGTAAGAACACAAATAGAATAAAATAGCAATATTTGTTTCAACAGACGAACATTCTTTGCCACATAATTCCTCACAACAAGTTTAATTTTAAAATAACGAAGTGGATACTAGTGTATTTAATGAAACGAAGACAATACCAATTTTATATTTATGAATATTGTAGATTTGTAATTGTTCTGTGTGGTTTACACGATATAATTTTTACAAGTTCGATTTTTCTAGCTCTAAAACTTTAAGGAGCATTCCATATTTTTTAAAAGACTGTTTACTTCTCATTTAACAAAATCGTAGAGCCTATCAGGGATTTTTTTCGACTTTTATACGATTACTATAATCATCAGACCTTAGCACATTTATTACTAGTATTAGAAAGAATGTTCTTTTCCTTCAGTAACTTCAACAGTTCTTTGTGTGCCCACAGCATTATTCGATCATAAAATGAGTCTAGTTTTTAACAGACTTTGTACCTTTTATATCCATGGCCAAGTGATTAGAGCGCTCGACTCGCAATCTGCGGGTCGCGGGTTCGAATCCCCGTAGCACCAAACATGCTCGCCCTTTCAGCCGTGGGGGCGTTATAATGTGACGGTCAATCCCACTATTCGTTGGTAAAAGAGTAGCCCAAGAGTTGTGGGTTGGTGGTGATGACAGATTTCATATATGCTCGTCTGCACTTTAAAAGAATAATTAATTATCTGTTTTGATAAAACTATCTGGATTATGCTATCTCTCCCATAGCATACAAAATTACTTCAAATGAATGAATACATAAGAACGTTAAGTATTAGAAAAATACGCTTTGCGTGTAAGTGGGATTTCACAATCAGAATAATATTTATTCGGAAATACTGTGAGGTTGCTACTTTTAATAGATGTATCACACACTTGTCTATGCAATGATTAAAAGCCAAAATTATATCCTTTTGAGAATTATAAGAACATTTTCTTCGTTTCTCTTTCAGGACGGGGTTATCCTTATGGTAGAGCTCTATATTTTTTGAGTTGGTGAGTCGGGTTCGAATCCATGCCATGTCACAAAATAATTCTCTTTCTTTGAAGTGTCAGTGCATCATAAAAGTGACGGTCAATCCCTTAGCGTGAAGAAGCTAAAAACATTCACTCTTAGCTGTGGGTTCAAAGGCCCTTTCATGATTAACAGAGGCGGCAGTATACCAGCCAGACACTTCCATTAACCCAATTTACTTCTATACCTAACCTAATGAGGTCCATCCTCGAAGAAAAAATGGCTATTCGAGGCATATGACCATATGTGCGATATTTGGTCACGCTAGCTTGTGAGAGGGGTTCGAACACAGTCAATATAGTTCCCATGGAATCTCGACGGGGATCAGGGGCACAAAATACAATGAGAGGTTCTGGTGCAGCGATGATACCTCCAGATTATCATAATGCCTGGGTAGTCACCTGGGGGCGTTTAGTAGCTTTGCCATAAAAACCAAGCCTCAGTGGCATAGCTGTATGTCTGCGGACTTACAATCCAAGAAACCGGGTCTCGATAACCGTGGTGAGCAAAGCACAGATAGCTCATTATGTAGCTTTATGCTTAACTTCAAATACCTCCTTTTTCACTCGCATATATATATTTTCTTTTTCAAAATAATTTATGAAGCCACACTGTTCATTATGCTAGGATGTCTTATTAAATCCTCATAACATGAGTGTCAAATTAAAAATACGTTCTGAAGATACTGACAAAACACTATATCACTCAAAATGTTTTAGCCAACGTAACTGTGTTTTTAAAGAACAGCTATCGTTATATTGGTTAATAGACTACACGATGGCCTAAGTCTAATTTCTAATCAGTAACAACTTTTTCATAGGTACGTACTAGTTACTAACTAATTTCAAGGAAGTCCTCAAATGAACTATTATGTTGGTAATAGACGGGATTCGATCCATGTTTTTTTCATGGAATTCTGGTGTATTAAGTATGTATAATTATTTCAGAAAATTAATTAAAGTGAAATTTCTTTTTTTTTATTATATATAAACTGCTCAATACAAACGTTTTTAAAATCCTTGCATTTTTCAGCCTTATGAGTAGAAGCTTCCATATATATATATTTATTACCTGTGAGTCTTAAGAATTTCTTATTTTATCTCATAAGTGCGTATTTTACTCGCAATTTTTAGAATGAACAATGGACTTAACAATCAAACCTAATATGTTTGCAAGGCAGATCTGTCTTGTGAAGCTCATCAATCTTACGTAATAGAAATGTCGCGTAGATAATGTAATCCTGTACTTTTGTATTGTATGCCAGAAGTGCTTCCACATGTTAAAAAAATATCTTAATAGTAGATCAAAATATAAAAATATTTTTATATTCTAATTAATATATCCCATCAAAAATAATCCAATGAAATTTTACTATTTTTACTAAAGTATATTTAAGGATGTTATAGGTGGCAAACTACGAAAAAATAAATAAATGAAAGACCCTACGCTTAAAATTAAATTTGATAATTTGTCATAAATAATGAATATCCTTATATAAGTTATTGTAGTTTATATAGAAAAATCATGTTAATGATTTGTGATCAAATAACAATTGCCTTCAGTTTTCTCTTATGGCATACAGAACAAATATAACTAATTATATTTATGTATTACAACCAATTTTACTGCTTCGCAATTGCAAATTTAATTCATTAACACATGATAAAAAATTGTAAGTACACGTTAGAAAAATGATCATTGATCTAAATATATCTTGTACTGTTGTAGACTAACTTTCACAATATTTATGAGGTTCTCCATTTGTTTTAGTTTATATACATATATATGACTCTCTTAAGATAGTCAAATGCCTCGTCATCCAATTAGTGGCGCGCATGAATGGATTAACGAGATTCCCTTTGTCCCTATCTACTGTCTAGCCACAGCCAAGGGAGAAATCAGCGGGGAAAGAAGACCCTGTTGAGCTTGATGTTAGAAAAACACGTAGGTTCAAAAAAATCTTGATAGAAATGAATAAAAACCCGAGCTTTCTTCTTCAGGGGCAAACTGTAAATAGTGGTGTAATTGAATGAGTGATGTATATAAAGGGATTTTAGTGACGTCACGAAGGTCATCCAGTTTTCGAGGAAATGTTTAGTCTATTTCTCTATGTACTTTTGTAAGCATCTAATTTCCGGTATAGTGTAGCCGATGGAGAGAGTGTGTGTGAATAGGTGTTAGGGATAAATGGATAAATATATGTATATTTAAAACTATACTTAAGTGTTTAAGTAAAATAAAGATGACACCTGGAGACTGATTGAAAATGATATGTTCTGCCAATCAATTTATAAAAGCAGGTATGGAAAATTATCTTAAATAAATAGTAACTTTTATGAAATTCAGCGTTCACATTACATGAAAACAATAAGCAAACAATAAAAATTATTTTTCTGACAGAGTTGAAACCAATGAACGGAATTCACTGATTCCAGAACCCAGATTAATTCCGAAAGGTTGAACAGTGTTTATATTAGCAATCCAATAAGCTTTTTTTATTTCTCTATCTATCTATCTGAATCCTGTTTCAATACCGAGGAGAGTAATATCGTTAATGGAATGACCGGGTTGGTTAAAGTGTTGAGCAAGAGGGAGATCTTTTTTGGTGTTAACAGAAGTTTATGGTTGTTGAAACGTTCTCTAAGAGTTGTTTGTGTATGTCCTACATATTGGTATTTGCATTTTTTACACTATATAGGGTAAATGGTGTTTTGTGTTCCACAAGTAATTTCTTTGGATATTTTAAAGTTTCTTTAATTGTGTTTGTCAGAAAATCAGTCAGTGGTTTTTATGAAGTTGCAGGTTTGAAAACGGCCTTTATTACATGGACGAAAAACATTTTTGGATGGGGTATAATTCACTTTTATTGAACAAGAATATCTTTTGTAACGAATTTGTTGTTGTTATATATTTATTTTAATGTCAACGTTTCTTGATTGAGTTTATATTTAAAACATACCTAGTTTATAGTGTTAGCTATGTATTGCGAAACTCCTGCCTATTCTCCAAAGTTGTAGAAGATTCTCGAGAGTAAGAATCAAAAGTATGTGTGTACGTAAACGCTTTAACTAGTATTGCATTGTTGCGTAATCTGAATTTTCTACAAAATCTTCCCACGCCTATAAATATAACCAACGCGAAGCGCCAAGGAGAGTTTCTATTATTATTTCGCTAAAATTGGTATGCTATAAAGCTTCGGAAGCTATAACTGTGATTGTTATAACGCTTATCAATCGGAAAATTTAAGATATCTCACCAGGAATATTTATAAATTTCGAGCGTTAGAAATCATTTAACTTCAGTGGATTCTCATTGGACATTAGTAATTTTACGAAGACATATAAATTCATCGTGGAAAACCTAGTGTGTGTGTGGCCAAGGGCAAAGCTAGCTATCTTCCCAGCGGATTGTATCTGCATCAACAGGTAATTAACTCGCTCATCGTGAATCCTCGAAAAGATATTGTTACATCTCTGGTCGTTTGTTAATTTCCGGTATAAATTCTTATCGAGGAACTTCGGCATTACGAGTTCTTGCTTAATTAAAACTAGTTTATTCTTTCTCAATACAACTTTGCAATTAACATAATTTCCACAGTCACTTTAACTT